CCCCAAAACCCCAAAACCCCAAAACCCCAAAACCCCGGTTTGCTGTCCACCGATTGGAATTAGAATATAAATTAAAGAAAGAAAGTAAGTAAGTAAAAATTTTATCTATTTAGATATTAGTCCAAAATTTCAACTTCAGTCAATCCAAAGTAATCAAAGATTTTCATAACTTCTTCTTTTGTTACTCCGCAGTTAAGGAATTTTGTAGTCTTGAGATTAGTTTTAAAACCATCCATCTTCATTAATCCTGCTATCAAATTGACAACTTGAGAGGCATTAAAGCCAAATTTGACATTACCACTATTCCAACAGTGCATAAACAATAGCTTATTAATTTTGGATATTTTCTTAGTGTTCTTGAAATCAAGTGCCTTATCAGTTTTTAACAAGCAACCACGAAAATAAATCTCACTTACATGTCTATAAGCAGAGAAGACGGATTCTACTTGAGACTGTGTCATTCTAAACCAATGTAGGGAAATCGTTTCGAGTACTCAAGGAGCAACAGCTATTAAAGGAGGGAAAAAGTAATCAAAGCTACAATAATTGCGACCAACGTGGAAATGAAATTCTTTCACTTCTTCAGGGAAATTAGTAGTCAATGTGTCTCTAGTCTGTTCATGATCATCAGGAATATGACTGATAGTGATTTTTTCAAGGTTTGGGATTCTTTTCTTAAGTTTAGTAAGAAATTCAGTATGAAGAATGTTATTCATCTCTAAGTGAATCTCTTGAAACAAAGCACTTATCATATCTTCATTAGTGGCTTCTTTCCAGACAGCATCAAACTCTTGATTTGAATAAGATTCTCCTTTAGGTCTTTCAGAGCAAATGAGTAACTGCAGACTTAGGTACATTTGTTTTCTTCGCAGTCTTTGACTTGTTGTTGGTTGCTTCTTTTTCTCTGTAATTTAGTTTCTCTTTTCAAGGCTATCTTCTTTGTTAAGTGAGCGTCTGTTGAAGTGTTCTCTTCCATTTCTTTGTCTTTGCTTTGAGCTTCTGTTTCTCTTCTTAGGGTTATAATCTTTTGTTCAAGTGCTGCTATTTCATTATCTTTTTCTTGAAGAAGTCTATCTTTCTCGGTTTCATATTTCTGGCAAAGTTCATCTATATCTTTCTTGTGTTTCTGATTGATTTCTGTTTTGAAGCTATCAAGATCTGCTTCTGAAGAGTCAGCCTCAGGGTTATCACAGAATCTTTTAGTAGTGAACTTCCTGAACAAATCTTCCTCTTGCAGACTCGACAAGATACTCAAAGCAAGGTCTTCTAATTCAGTAAATTTATGATAAACCTTATGAGTCTCAGCTTCTTCTAGGAGCTTCTGCAGTGGCTCTAGTTTTTCACGATATCTTTGAAAGATACCTTTAGAAGCTCAATCATCCTGCTTACCTTCAAGGTTACCCCATTCCCTCTCTTTCCCTCCATCATCACTCTCATCAGTCTCAGCTTCAAAAATCTCAATACATCGGATAAGTCTCAAAAAGGTGTTCTTAGCTTCCTCAGGGTCACTTAGTATCTTACTCTGCTCCGTAGGGTACTTGGTGGCTCTAGCTTTCTGACATTTAGCTCAGGCGTACATATCTTTACTTGGGATGTACCACAAGGCTTGCTTGAGGCACTTCTTGGAATTACAGTCGGGAGATAGCATTTTAGTTATTATTATTAATTACGGCTGGTTAAGAAGGAAGCAACCAAGAGGCTGAGAAGGGGTTTTGGGGTTTTGGGGTTTTGGGGTTTTGGGGTTTTGGGGTTTTG